ATTTGTGATTCTGACCGCGGTGAAATTTTGTTAATCTAAATGTGCGTTTATTAATGTCTGTACGTAAGTACAAATATAAATTCACTGGCAGGAATTTACGTGAAATTTATTTTTAATCGATTATGGCTGTTTATCGACGTTTTACTGAAATGTCAGTAAACTTCTACTAGACTACACGGCGCAACAACCCAGAAGACAAATTCTTCAAACTCGCCGCTGTGAAAACCTCAAATCTTAATTGGTTACTAAACACAATGCGAGTATCAAAATATTAAAATTTATGTAGAAAATACAATTTTTACGTGTCGGTTTCGTTGAAGGGACGTGATTGAAGATCGGTACTGACATTTAATTTGATAACCAGCAGTATTTTAGAAGACTTTGCCTCAACATTTAAAATGGACGTTGGACCCACACAGTTCCATATCCATATTCAAATCAGAGTTCATTTCCATTCAGCACGTTGTAATAAGAGAGCAAAATTCTGCATGCCTCTTCATTAAGTGTCACAGGCCTTCATTTTGTGCCAATATTAGAATTAAATATATAACACGGCAGTTAATTAAAAGTAAGTAGTCCGTGTTATACAAATTTCTTTGATTGAATATTATAAATATCCACTGGTACACGTAACACACGAGTTTAGTACTAATGGGGTGCCGGGTTTGATCCTGACCGTTGAAATTATATCAAAACCTAATACAATCAAGATCAGTCAGCATAATATTAATCACGGCAAAGGTAAAATTTAGTCACCGAAACATCGTTTCTAGTGATAAATGTCAAAAATGGACTAGATCAAACATAATTATAGTCTAATAATTAATTAATCGCTGCTAAAAACCTGAATAGAATTAAGATGATATTAATACTGCTTATGAGACTAAAATACAGTGGTACATTCTTCATATCGTATTCCACATAAAAAATCGATACGGCACGTTAAATTATTGACATTTATTTCAGAAACGAGATTTCGAAGAAAGAATATTTTTCAGAGGTTGGGAAGAATCTCCACGGACCCTTGGCAGTCGGCATCAGAAGATAAATGTACCATAAGTTAAATGAAAATTCAGTCGTCGTCTCAGTGGCTGAGGGGAGGAGCTGGGATGGGGTAATATTCTCTCTGACTGTCGTTGGCTTGTTTTAGGTAACGAACACAATGGATTGGCTCGCGATTTCTTCCTTCGTAAAATGATTCAGCGTTTGGTCTGAAACAAGTCGTCTCATCAGACTGCCGTCAGCATTACAGACTTGCACGCAACTGTATTCTGTATCATATCTCTGGGTCACTGAAGTAAAATTGCCTTTCACATATAATTCTTTGTTGTGGAAGATTTAGTTCCGTTCAGAATTGAAGCAGATGATTGTCGAGAGTGCGGTTAGTGTGTTGAGTCTATTTTCAAAGGACCATAACGTTGTATTTCGCTACATCAATACGTCAGACCAGGTGCAGAGCGAATATGTGAGCTAAGAAATTCAATATGACTCCTGAAGATTTTCACAAAGCAATTTTCTCGGGGAGCTTTTCAACCAGCTGTCTTTTTTAAACATTTCCATATGGCACGTCACTGTACGTGATATCCCCCTCTTATAATAGACACTGTGTAATCCAATGTTGTATTAAATAAATATCACTCTACGGATATATAGGCAGTTTTGGATACTCTGTGCCTCGAGGTCTTTGGAGAATTCTCTCAGCTCTGGGAATACTTTTCGAAGGCCGTCGCAAGACCTGTGTCTACTCATGACAACATAACTCTTAAAATCGCGGGGTAAACACTCATGTCGTGTTGTGACTGATATTCGAACCCACAATCCCAGTGTTTGAGCGACGACGTCCATAACTTATGCCACGCGACCACTGCCATTAACTGAAACAGAGACAAAAATACTGGCAGTTTGAAAAAAAGTGGATCACGTTCATTACAAGGAAAATAGTTTATCACTGGAATCGAAATCTTAACAAGTTTAGAACACAAGAAAATCAAGAATTACTCAGAGACAAATAATCGTTTATCGTTCCTTTTGAAAAATTTAGCTAAGGAACAACGACCAAGTTCGATTGCCAAGTTTGAACAGATTTTTCATTTAATATAGATTATATCTTCAATGATTGATACAATGAGTACATATGTTATTTTAAGACCCTGTATCAAGTATAAGAGTCTTGTAGCATCGAAAAATATGTGGCAATGAGAGAAATTATGAGTATGTGAGCGTCTGGAAAAGACCATTAATAGACATTTGAATGAACTGGCCGGAAAACAAAGATATTGAACCTGGTAGACCAAATTCTGAAATACACATCAAGTCATATTAACGCTTAGTTAATCTTTTGCGTACTTTTAGGTGGTTCAGTAAAAATGATTGCATAATTCGCTGGGGAAGTGTATGGAATTCATTAGGAAGGCGTGTCTCAAAAACACCTGACCGATTATAAATCTCTGCAAGTTTAAACCTATTTTACTTATAACAACCAACAAGACTCCATTTAGCAGAAGAAAATTAAAAGATTTTATCACAGGTATTTCATGCGTGATTTATCACTAAAACGAAAGAGAACAAGCCTCTATTAATCCTATGTAGCATACGAGGTGCGATCTGAAAGTTTCAAGTTTGTGTCAATAGAGGGCGACCCGGATGTAGTACGAGCTTCTGCCGCTAGGGGGTGCGGCCTACATTCATAGTGAATCAGTGTGCCAGCCGGCATCATCGAATTAGCATTTGTTTCTTAGTTACGGGCGTTTTGGTAGTGCATTACACCGACCCTCCTGCGATTTCGGAATGGCGTGTGCATCAAATTTGGCCAAAGACTCGCCAAAACGGCTACGGAAACCTATGAAATGCTAAAGCAAACATTTGGGGAGTCCGCAAACTTTTGTGTGGCATTCACGTTTTAAAAATGACCGAACCTCTGGGGTAGGCTATGGGACCTGTCAGCTGATTCTAAAGGAAGAACTCCACATGCGACGCATCATGACAACGCGCCAGCGCACACCGCCCTCAAAGTTCGGCAGTTTTTGGCCTCAGACACCATGGCCGTCATCCCACACCATCCTTATTCGTCGTGTGACTTCTTCCTCTTCCCAAAAATGAAAATTCAGCTAAAGGGAAGGAGATTTGAGACGATAGATGAGATTCAGGCAGAATCGCAGATGGTGCTTGACAGGCTGACAAAGAAAGATTTCCAGGGATGCTTCCAGGCTTGGCAGCGGCGCTGGGATCGTTGTGTTCACTCCCAGGGGAACTACTTCGAGGGAGATGGATGAATTTAATACCTGAGATAAGTGTACGGGTTTTTATAGGCGCAGTCTAGAAACTTTCCGATCGCACCTCGTATATACAGTTACTTAGATAATTTGGGTATTTACTTCAGTAAGTGTTTCATGGCAATGGCGAACGAAACCATAATCCTCGACACACCCCAGCAGAAGACGAAATAAGGTCGGAAAACCTCGGAAGCAATGTCATTGATTCTGCTCGTTTTAATCAACTTTCTGGTTACCAATAAACTTCCTTCCGTGCGGTCGAGTAACCATGTCCGCGGTAAAGACTAGCGGTTTAAGGAACGTCTGTTGCAACATTGCACAGAATATTTAAGGTAATCTCGTTGCAGCTTATAATGAATCCCTCGGGTTCTCATAATGCCACAGTTCTGTTTATTGACGTTAAAAGATATATGAATTACTAAATACCAACTTAGACATTAGAGTTTAGTCATTTGCTAGCATTTCAAGGAAATCCCCCCCCCCCCCACACAGAAACGGAAACAAACTTTTTCACTCCTACTCAAAGCCTAAAGCAAATACGGTCTGTAGTAAGTCATGCACAGATGTCTTTTCAGAATTCACTATACCAGTTGAGTAGAATTACCAGATCTCAATCGGCACGGAGTACGGTCTTCCAAGGATTTGCGTACAAAGGATTCATTCACTAGTTTTACGTTTAATTCACTGACTGTCGGTTTCCCCGGCCAATTCTCGGTACCATTGCTTAAAACAAAGTAACAAAGTTTTCTCAAAGCGCGGTATATACACGATAGTCAAAAATTTAAGCACGCATTCTGAAGGGTTATGTGTCATTAAATCATTACAATGAAAAGATCGTCGACTTTTTAATGTAAAAATACTTAAAATGTGTATAAAGTTTTCAAAATATTTTAATTTAAGTGCTATCTGCAGGTTTATAAAAATGAAAGCTAAGTTTGAATGATTGTCCATGCTCAGTTCAGGATATCAGGAGTGTTGGTTTCTGTGCTAACAGTAACTTTTACATTTTACGCTCTGATTCACGAATCATAACTGAAAGAACAATGCTCAAAGAAATCCCGAAAGACACAAGTCTAATACGTCTTAGATATTGACAAACTATTTTAGATATGGTAAAAGTTGCGTCATATTGTGATATAATAAATATATTATTTAAATCTTGTCCGTCTAATCACAATAAATTCTTATTTAATATTAAAATATTACAATAATTAACATTTAAAATATTTAAAATATTAAATGATGTTCTTTATCGAAATATTCGATTTACATTAGACCATGTAAATCGAATGTTTTGATAAAGAACATCATTTAATATTTTAAATATTTTAAATGTTAATTATTGTAATATTTTAATATTTAATAAGAATTTATTGTGATTAGACGGACAAGATTTAAATAATATATTTAAATAATAAATTATTTTAGGTTCCTTTTAGTCCAATGTTTCTTTTGATTTGTATAAAGCTCGCTCTGAAATTTATAACAATTATTTTAATATTTTACAAAATATTGGAACTTGACAAAATACTAAAGTGGCATTAATATTTATAGACAATAGTGTTAAGAACTTTTCAATATGGTAAATATTTAAACAAATGTAATACGTAGTGAAATAACATAAAAGCTTTGTAAATGTAAAACTATTAATCTGTTTCCGCATTAAAGGTAAATGCGGTGGGCAATGTCTCAGAGCAAGCATCTGGAACACGTGTCCTCTGTTGTCAGGTACAGCGTCTCCGTGTTCATAGTGCCACTGAGCGTTCTGGCGGCGACGTACTCCAGCATCTGCCGGGAAATTTGGTTGCACGCAGGCCGCAGTCCGCAGAGCCAGGAGGGAAATTGCAGTCCGCTCATATCACGCGCCAAGATGAACACTGTGAAACAGATGGTTGCCGTCCTGGCGCTCTACGTCGTCTGTTCTGCTCCATTTATCAGTGCGCAACTCTGGGCCACCTGGGACACACAAGCGCACACAAAACCTTTCTTCACAGGTAGGCAGCGCCCCACTCCAGACACCCCTCCGAAGGACGCCATATGCACATCCAAACAACCGTCTGCTCTAGCTACCCATTCATTCAATCCAATACCTCCGTCTACCAAATCATCAACTCTAGTGTATCTAACTGTTCACCTACCTAAGCCCACGTATCATAACTAATTTATTTACCACCTTTTTTCAACTGCTAATCCATCTAGCCAGTAGGTCAGTGGTAATCCTGGGGTCTCGGGTTCGATTCCCGGCGGTGCCCGAATTTATAACTTGTGTTGGGCAAGGCCGTGGTCTAGGCAACACGGAGTTTTCCTCCGTGGCATCCCAACAATTACGCCATTCACACACAGAAGAAGGCAATGGCAAACCACTTCTGGATCATCTGCCAAGAACGCATATGAACAGGTCCCAGTCCGAGAAAAGGATGGAAGGATCCTGTTCATACGGACCTGTCGTCAGACAGAACACAAAATAAATAATAA